GAAAATGCTTTTCCCAAAAAGCCTTTGAAGCTGCTTGGGAGCCGCTTGGGAGCCGTTTTGGGCCGTCTAGGGGCCATCTTGAGCTGCCTGGGGCTGTGTGGAGGCCATCTGGAGCTGTCTTGACGGGCTCGAGGGCCGTCTCGAAGCTATATTCGGCTGTCTCGGAGCCAGCTTGACGGGTTCTGCGGGCTGTAGTCGATATTATTGGGCTTTCCTGGGGCTCCTTGACAGCCGTTGCTGGACCATCCTGAGGCCGCAGAGGCTCCTCGGAAGCGATGCGGCGAGATCTTGGAAACATTGTTTTTTCTGTGTGAGGAAGGTTTTAGGGCCATCGTCGGGCGGTCTGGAGGCCAGCTCAATCCATTCGGTCTGGTCTCGGGCCGTATATATCCCCGGGCCCCGGTATATATATATACGTAGAACCCCGCAATTGCGGATAAGAGTGAGGGGGCGGGCGCGGGCGACGCGGGCGTCGTCGAGCCGGCGGACCTCGTGGCCCCCACCTTCCCTGTCGATGGCGCTCCTCCTCCTCCTCCTCCTCCCTCCTCCTCTTCCTCCTCCTCCTCCTCCTCGTCCTCGTCCTCGTCCTCATCGTCATCGTCATCCTCCTCCTCCACCTCGTCCTCCTCCTCCTCTTCTTCCTCGTCCTCCCTCTCCCCCCTCGTCCTTTCATCATCGTCCTCCCATTGTCGTCCTCCCCCTCATCGGCCTCCATCATCGTCTCCCATTGTCGCATCATCATCATCATCATCATCATCATCATCATCATCATCATCATCATCATCATCATCATCATCATCATCATCATCATCATCATCATCATCATCATCATCATCAGCATCATCAGCATCATCAGCATCAGCATCATCATCATCATCATCATCATCATCATCATCATCATCATCATCATCCCCCTCCTCCCCCTCCTCGTCCTCCTCCTTCCCTTCCTCCCCCTCCTCCCCCTCCTCGTCCTCCTGCTCCTCCTCCTTTTCTTTCTCCACATTCTCCTTACATCCTCTCTTTTTCCGCGTTCTCCTCGTCCCCTGTTTACTCCTCCTGCCTCCCCCTCCTTTCCCAAGATAACTGCAACGCAATCCGTTTTTCCACTTTATGCTCCCCGCCTTCTCTGATCAAGGCAACTCGCCAGGGCAGAGTTGCTGGACGGGCTGGTGTGGATGCGCGGGGCTTGAAGAGGTCCTTGCGGGCTCAGACGGCATGCAAAAATCAGCCGCCGCGCTTGTGCGGCATTGGTTTGTTCAGTGAACGTGGTTTAGGTCGCGGGTGGGTCGCGGGCTCTCCACCTCCACCTGGAAGGAATGCAAAAGCAGCCCGCCGCAGGCGCCAACAAAAATTGGTTTGTACACTGAACGTGGTTTGGGTCGCGGGTGGGCCGCGGGTTCTCCACCGGGAACGAATGCAAAAGATGCCCGCCGCAGGCGCCGAACAATGTGGTTTGTACCCTGAACGTGGTCGCGGGTGGGCCGCGGGCTCTCCACCTGAAACGAATGCAAAAGATGCCCGCCGCAGGCGCCGAAAAATGTGGTTTGTACCCTGAACGTGGTTTGGGTCGCGGGTTGGTCGCGAGTTGGTCACGGGGTGGGTCGCGGGCTCTCCACCTGGAAGGAATGCAAAAAAAGCCCGCCGCAGGCGCCGAAAATGGTGGTTTGTACCTTGAACGTGGTTTGGGTCGCGGGTGGGTCGCGGGTGGGTCGCGGGGTAGGTCGCGGGTGGGTCGCGGGTGGGTCGCGGGTGGGTCGCGGGTGGGTCGCGGGTGGGTCGCGGGGTGGGCCGCGGGCGGGTCGCGGGGTGGGTCGCGGGGTGGGTCGCGGGGTGGGTCGCGGGGTGGGTCGCGGGGTGGGTCGCGGGGTGGGTCGCGGGTGGGTCGCGGGTGGGTCGCGGGTGAATCACAAAATGGGTCGCGGGTGGGTCGCGGGTGGGTCGCGGGGCGGGTTGCGGGCGGGACGACGACAACAAACAACAAACAACAACAAACAACAACGAGAATCCGCACCGCGGAATTCCTCTTCAGCCACGCACCCAGGGACAGTGAATGATCGTTCGGCCCCCTCACTCTGACATATGTACATGTAGATGTGGTCCTGTTACGAGGTTGCCGCACAGCTTGCAACACACAGGTTGCACCACACAGCTTGCACCACACAACTTGCACAGCACAGCCTGCATCATATGGCTTACGCCACACAGCTTGCACCACATGGCTGCCACCACACATATTGCACCACATGGATTGTACCGCACGGCCCACAACACGTAGCTTACACCTCGTAGCGGGCACCGGATCGCTTACACTACATACATAAACCAACACAGCATACACCACACAGGTTGCACCACATAGCTTGCACCGCATTAACTCCTGCACAACATACTTGTCACCACGTACCTTGTGCCCCATAGCTGACACATCCACAGTGCAATGACTTACTGTGGGGATCCATGCTGGCAGACACATGCGCATATACATATGCATATGTATGTGGATATCTATATATATATATATATATATAAAGATAAATACAGAAAAATTGTATAGGTGCGTGTATGTGTGTGTGTGTGTGTGCGATGGCATGTTCCTCAAGACAGCAACGCAGGCGCAACAACAAGAGCTCCATCGGACGCGATCCAGAAGCGAAGCATTCCTGAATCTTCGGCAACAACCGAACGTGTAATGCCTACTATGGTACCAGCCCTCCAGTCCCCCAACAAAATCTGTTCGCCACAGGCTGAACTCAACAGCTTGCCTTCTTGGTGCCTCCCAGCTGGCTCGCTGCCCGACTGCATCTTTGGTGCCTCCCGCCATACATGCTTCGAGAGCAACGCTCCGCGCAATACCCCGCCTGCCCCCTCCTTCCCCAAGCCTCCGACTCCGTGACTGTTTTTCGCATTGTGGACCCCTGGTTGTCTCAACCCCCTCAGGGACCGGTTTTTCATCCCGAACCGCATTTGTTGACGATCCAGGTGCCTTTTGAAGGGGCCCGAGAGGCCAAGGACGGCCAGAACCATTCCGCCGCGAAAGCTCTACAACCCGAAGGGGTCTGGGCTCTCCCTTTCCCCCCTCCCACCCCCGCAGTAGACACATATGCTCCGATCCTCCGACACCCTCCACTCGGACCTCATCCAGGAGGCCTTCCACATCCACTGCGCCTCGGCCTTTTGGCGCCACTTCCCAGAAAGTCCAAGACGCAGTGGGCATGGATATGTCGCCACGCCGTTTGTTCTGAACGCGCCCAAGTAGACGAAGCAAGGCACCGCGGCAAACCTACGGTCAACTCTGCTTCTGAGGCGGAATCTTGCCTTGTTGCCGAGGCGCCCTCTCAAAGACGTACGGCCGCGCGTCGGAACAAAGGCGCAGCAACAGATGGGACATCTCGCTCGCAACTGTGCCCCCCCACCCCCCCCCACCCCGCCCCGCTCCTGCGCCGCCGCCGCGACCTGGGCGCAGCTGCTTCCGTCCGCGCCGTCCGGCTTGGGCGCCGCGCCAGGGGGGAAGATCGCCGAGGCGCGGAGCGCGCTGGCGGGGCGCTGGGCGGCGCTGGCGGGGCGCTGGGCAGCGCTGGCCGGGCGCCGTGCGGCGCTGGCCGGGCGCTGGGCGGCGCCGAGCGGCGTCGCTGGGCGGCTGGCGCCGAGCGGCGCCACTGCGCAGGCGCTGGGCGGCGCCGAGCGGCCGCCGCCCGCGAGGGCGCAGGCGGGGCGCGGCGGGGCGGGCGCGAGGCCCTGGTCGCCAGCCTTTGTGGTGCACACGACCGGCTCCTGGGGGAGCGCAGCACGGGATTCCCGATTCAACGGTTCCTCATCCAGTGCCCTCTCCGTGCCCCTGCTTGTCCTAGGGAGCCCTCGTCGCCGAGGCTGGATTCTCCTCGAGATGCTGGTCAGAATGCGCCTCTGGAGAGGTCTGGGGAGTAGCGGTGCCGCTGCCTCCTGGCTCTCCTCGCCACCCTCAGGTCCGGGCGTCGCAATTTTTCTGCGCCTGGCGCTGTTGCCCGCCAGCGGGCATCGGGGCCTTCACAGATCGATCCGGCTCGAGAAGTGCCGCAGACAGAGGGGGTCCGGGGCTCTGGTCCTGATTCTCTGCCATGTCTTAAATTTTCTGCAACGCAAAAGGTGAGGGAAAGCCTTGACTCACCACGATCCACACCTGGCGACTAGCAGCTGGCTGATTGTGTAATGCTTTCCAGGAGGGGTGCAAATTCATAACACAGATGCGCACTTTCGGAGCTGAGCGCGGATTCCTCGGATCGGTGCTGGACCCCCCTGGCGGCGCCTCCAGCGCCGCCCCTGGCGCGCTCCGAACACCAGGGAGGAGGATCCAGGGCAGAACCAAGAAATTCGCGCGGAACCCGGAATGTTATGTTTATGCAATTTGTCGCCCCTCGAAAAAATCACTAACTGCGCCACTTGCTGGGCGGAAGGCGTTGTAGGTGGAGGGTCGGGGGGAGGTAGCGATACGGCTCTCCAGGGATGCATTCTATACAGCATGTCGAATATAATCCAGACGTCGCGACGCGGGCTCTCCAACACGAGCAGCGGTACGGTAAGGGCATTGCATAAGGAACCTGGACAGGGAATTCAGGGTCTGGAAGATGGTGCAGCTTCAACTGAGGCTTGGCCGTGGCTATCGCCGCCGCCCTCATCAGACAAGGAATCCTCCAGGATCTGGAGCCTCCTGGGCACATGCCTTAACGAACGCCTCCACCGTATCTGCATAATGACCCAGACCCCCGACGTCACGAGAACCCCCAGAGGTCTCGAGCCATTCCCCGGGCCGGCTTACCATCCTGAGTCGTGTTCTGACGGGCCCGAGGTCTGGCAAGGGCCCCCCGAAGCAGAAAATCGTCAAACAGTCTCCGCCGTGACAGAAGGGGGTCTGGGCATCAGTCTGTCTATCTTTCTCCGCTGAGCTCCGGCGCCGGGGCGGCCTGGGCCTCCAGCAGCCTCTCGGGAGCGGCCGCGGCGACGCCCGCCGCGGGGGCCGCGGACGCCGGCCGCAGCTGCTCGGCGGTGCCGGGCCTCGCCGCCCGCGAGGACGGCTCGGCGGTGGCGGGCTGGAGCGCCGCCGCCGCGGGCGCGCTCGGCGGCTGCTCGAGCTCCAGGAAGCAGGCCGCGCCCACGAGGTGGCAGGCGTCGCTGGGTAGGAAGGAGCCGCCGCTGGCGAGGTCCCCGGAGCGCTTGCCGGCCGTCACCTTTCGGGGCCCGAGCTGGGTCCAGAAGAGAAGGGCCGGATGCCCAACAGCGAGTGTTGTACAAAAGCGACAGAGGCCGCTGCCGGGCAGGCGGCCTTCTGTCAGACATGGCGAAGGCGAACGTCCGCGGCAACACCGACAGCGAGCCCTGTTCAAAATGGGCAAGAGTTGCTGTCGGTATTCGTACCCCTTCTTTCCGTACTCCGGTGGCAACTCATGAGAGCCTCCCCTTCCATCTTGTCGGGTCTTGCGAATCGACGCTAATCGAGGCTAAATCGACGCTAAACCGACACTACACATCAACGCCAATCGACGCTAGCCGACGCTAAGTCGGCGCTATCTCATCCACTCCAGACGCTACTCAACGCTGATCGACGCTAAAGACAAAAGTAAGAGGGTATACCAGGCTCCCATGATTTGCCACCGAACTGTACCAATTGGTGTTGGGGTTGGGGCAAAAGTGGGGTTGAGGCAGAGGTGGGGTCGGAGGCAAAACCACTCCAAACGGCCCCCGGGAGCAGGAAACGCGTCAAACAGGAACATCCAGCTGGGCCCGCTCCCCAGCCCGACCTTGGGACATCTGCGAACCCCGATTTTTAACATGCGAAGAAGGGTATAACATAAACTTGTTCGCCGTCGGAGACGCCTTCCCCAGGGCGGCTGGAAAGTTTATACCCGTACGGTGGCACGTCAGGGTATAAACTTCCCAGCCGCCCTGGGACAGGCGCCCCTGGTGAAGGAACAAATTATGTTATACAATTCTTGGCCCGCTGAGATCATTCCGTGCCAAGTTCGATCGTACCGGCCACCGGCCGCGGCAGCGGGGCCTGCGGCTTCGGGGAGCTCGCAGGCGGCGTCGCCGGGGCGTCGGCGCTCGGGGCCGCAGCGGCCACGGCGCCGCCCAGGGCGGCCTCGGCGGCGTCGGCCGCGGGCTTCGCGGGCGCCTGGGGCCGCTGCGCACGCAAGGCCAGCTGGGCCTTCACAGGGCTGAGCCTAGACGGTGCTTTGGCCATCTTGTGTTCGTTCTTCCCCGTTTTGTATATCGGTCCTCCTCGTCTGTTTCATGTTCGTTTTGTCGTTCGTTTTTCCTCCTTGTGGCTTCGCTCCGCCTTGAATTCGAAACAAAACGAAAAACCAAACGGGCCACGAGATGGGCAAAACAGTGCTTAGGTCCAGCCCTGGGCCTTCAGCAGGTCCATCGGCGAGGGCGCCGAGGCCGGCCGCACGCTGCTGGGCGCGCTGGCGGGGCGAGATCCTCGGGCGGGCGGCAATGGGGGATGACCCACATGGGGGGGGGAAGAAAGGCCCCAAAGGGGCCCTGTAAGGCCCCTTTTGGAGGCAGCTGGTGCCCAAGAGTGGCCCTAACAATGGCCCAGTTTAGGGCCCTTCTCTTCACCCCCCACCTCGGTCACCCCCCGTTGCCGCCCGCCCGAGATCCTGGGTGGAAAGCGCTCCGGCACCTCGCCTGGTAGGCCTCCTCGGAAGAAGAAACGACGACGGCACAGCCGCTCCCACTCTGTAGCGTCGCCAGCTTGCGGCAGTCACACACACACACACACACCCGTGCTGGCGGGCATGCTGCGTGACCCCTCTCGGGAGTCCTCGGGGGGAGCCCTCGGGAGGCCAGCGGGGCTGATGTGACCCCGTTTTGGTCCCGTGACCCAACGGGACAGTGTGACCCCGAGCCACGAGAGGAGTCATGTTCCGCCATGGATCGCAAAACCAAAAACACGGCACGCATGCAAACACTAGTCGGCCACGTTTAGCTACGTATGGCCACTCGCGATAAGCTTTCGCGCAAGTGCACCAAAATTACCGACGCGCTGACACACGAAAAAGTCATGGATGCATGTCCTGACCCAGGCTTGTCATTGATGTGGACGTCGTCAATGACCCCGCGTTGGCAATGACCGCCGCTCCAGTACAGAACTTTTACGACGCGAACGAACTGGACGGCGGCATGCACATCACCCCAGCAAAGCACCCTAATAGCAGCAACATTTGCTAGTTACTTCAAGGGAGTCCTGGGAGACGCACAAGGCAACCATAGGGTGGTCTCTCTCGCGTAGTAATCGTACGCGAGAGTATAGCTCTGGCAACACGAAGAGTCGTAGACGCAATAGGGTGTGCTCTCTTGTGCAAGAAGCGTACGCGGTGGTGGAGCTCTGGCAACACGAAGACGAAGAACTTGACGTGCGGCAGCATGAACTCTTTTGTGCACGAATCGTACACGGGGGGGAAATCCGACAACACGAAGAGCGGACATACTACGGAGAGCAAGGCCATGTGCCCTTCAATGAACACTTAACAACAAACGCGACCGCCTGGACAACAAAATGTAACCGGCACTGCTGCGAGAGCACTCTTGCTGAATAAATTGTGGGCCGATGTCAACCGAAACGGCTACCGGACTCGGCGGTGTCGGGCTCCCCGTCGCCCTTGAGGCAGTCTCGTGCTGTCTTCTCGACAACTACTCGAATCCTTCTAGCGAAACGCTATCAATGAATATATAGAGGTGAACTCTTGGAGGTCCGCGCCGTTTCCATGGGTCGGCGCTGAAACCCCTCCTGGCGCGCAGCATGCGCTAGAGGGCGCCAGCGGCGCCGCCAGGGGGTCCGACTTCCGACCAGAGGACTTCGCGCGGACCTCTGGAAGTGCATGTTTATGTACTCCGTCCGGCCCGGACTGCGCAACCACATGTGAAACCTCCCCTGCAGGAGAGATGCCAAAAAACTGGCAGGGGGCCAGAATCCGAGGGATGCCGGCAGCCAAATAAACGCCCCCTGTGGCCCCAGCGCCGACTGCGCCCGCCAGGGGTGATTCGAGGGTGCGCACTTGGTCGCAGACCGTGGGTGGGCAGAGAGATACCGATACTGCCACCCCCCAGACCCCCAGATCTCTCCCAGGGTGCATTCTGACCAGATTGTCGAGGCGACTAATCGCCTGTGGCGACGCCGGCCTCTCAGGAGGCCTGAGAAGGCGAGAGAGAGAGAGAGAGACGGCTAGCAATATCGGTGCTTGCCCAGGCACGAGATGCCTTGTTTTCTCAACTACGAGGTCCCCCGAAGTCTCGACTTTCCCCCGGTACCGGTTTGTCGCTTTTCATTCCGAATTCCTTTTGCTTGTCCCGGGGCCCTGTGAGGGCCCGCAGAAGCTGAAAACGTCCACACGACTCCCGTCATGATTCTTTCACGCCTCGGGGGGGTCTGAGTCGGTACTTTTTCCTTCTCTGGAGATCGGCTCCTCCTGTCGGTAGACGGGGCTGTCGGCGGGAGCCGGCCACCTGCTAGGCGGCGACAGCCGAACCCTACCCTCGCCGACCATCGATTCTCCCGAATCGACGGGAGGCGGGTTCGGATTTCGCCGCGCGTTCGACGAATTCCGAACCCCACCCCCGCCGCTCATCGAGTTGCCTGAGTCGTGGGATTGGCGAGGGTGCTGGCCCCATGGTGGTTTTCGGATCGTACCTCCTGCCACCGGCGGCCGTTCGGGACGATCCTGGCACCCCTGGACTGCTCTCGGCGAGGCGCAGCCGCTGGAAGGCATCCCGAGGCTGGAAAGCCGCCGAGAGCCAACGAAAACGCCCCCAAACCTCGGACCCGAAGCCTGGATGGCGGATCGTGCATGGCCCCGCCGCCCATCGAGTTGCCCTGAGTCGTGGCTTGGCGAGGGCAGGGCTCGGATTTCGCCGCCGGCCTGCGGAGGCTCCCGGGGTACTGCAGCGGGCACTCCACCCGGGCGCTCCTGACCTCGAGCACGCACGAGGGGGGCCGCACGCCGGGGGGCGGCGGCTCCCGCGATCGCAGCTGCTCCCTGCGCGGCAGGGAAGCGAGGGAGGAGGAGGAGGAGGAGGAGGAGGAGGAGGAGGAGGAGGAGGAGGAGGAGGAGGAGGAGGAGGAGGCAGGGCAGAAGGCAAACCAAGGAGGACACAGAGGAAAGGAGGAGGAGGGGGGGGAGGAGGATGCAAAGGAGGAGGATTTTTGACATCCACCGTGGCAACCAAAGGCGACGACCAGAGGGCGTCGCCTCCTGCTATCTGGCCTGAGGCAGGCAAGCGAACATTGAAAAGAAGCAAGGAGGGCGGGCGCGAAAGCCACGGGGCGATTTCCCGCAGGAAGGGAGGATCCCCTGTGGCTCACCGCCCGCCCCCCCATGGCCCGCGACCTGAGAAGAATGAGGTCAGGGCGAGACGCACCACACGCGGGGAACGCATGCTGCATCTCCTAGTCTGAGTCATCAGACCGTGGTGCAGCGACGGCGCCGAGCAGGGCCACGTCCTCTTCAAGGGCGAGGGCTGCTCGGGCGCGGCCGAGCGCAGCAACCGAAGAGGCAGGCTCGGACAACTGCTGCACAGCCTGCTGAGGGGGACTCTCATCAGGCGTGTCAAACAAAAAAACAGGCGGCTTCCTCTTCCGCATCGAGCGGATCAAATGGGAGAGAGGAGGGGCCAGCAGCGTTGACGATGGTGAACGACGACTCAGACGACGGGTCGACAACTCTATCACGCTGCTGCCCCTGTGGTGGAGCAGGCAAGGGAGGATCCACCTCCAGCTCCACATCATCTGGTACTGGTGCCCCCCCTGCAGCGGAAACAAATCTACGCACCAGCTTAGCAGTCCGCAACTCCCGTTCTCGGTCGGTGAGGCGCCGTGGCAGCTCCTCGTGTTCCAAGTCTTCGTACCAGGGGCCGACCTCGACTGAGATACCTTTGCGCTTTGGATGGCGGCCAGCCCCCACAAAGCTCCAGGCGGACTTAGCGCCCGCACTCTGAGGTTGACCATCGCACTGTCTAAGCAAATTGCGAGGCTGCCCGTGGGAGGAATAGGCATAGCATCGCATACAAATAGTGAGAGCGGCACCATCGGAGCATAGCAAAGCAATGCAGTTGTGCCTGAGGGCAGAAAGCACCGCGGAAGTCAGCTTGGAATCTCTAAGGCACTTCCCAGGGGCGGGCGGGTCCAGACCTCCAATCCAAGACCCACCAGGGATCTTCCGCGGCACGCCCTTGGCCACCTTGAGACATTCAACGCACTGCCAAAAAGATGAGACACGCGTCCACTGGTGAGGCCTCGGTTCAACTTTCGGCCTGGGGGCTTGGGCACAAGCGGGACTCCCGTCAGGTTGAGCCGCGGCCACTCTGGCATCAGCTCGGCCGAAAGACGCATGACACACTGAGAAATCGAGAGGCATCGCTCAAGCCGTTCCACATCCTCGGGGTTAGGTTGTGGGTGGCGGGCAAGCGAGCTTTTGGCGACACTGTCAGCAAGGTCGTTACCTTGCTTCCAGAAACGCTCAAGCTCGGCTAGGCCGCTGGATTCTTCAACGTGAACCTTGACCTTAAAAACCCCCTCTAAAAGCTTACGGTGGGTGGGGAGTAAAAACCCAGAGTGCACACGCTTGTAGGACAGAGCCCTGGGCAGCGGCTCATTGGCTTGGACAACCACATTCTTACAATCAGAGTAAATGGAGCTGCCTGGCATGGCATGCACGGCAGCAACAGTGTAGGCCCCAAACTCTCCCCCTTGGGCAGTCTGGAAGTTGGGGGCCCACAGGGGACAACTAATGCGACAGATTTCATTGCCGTCATCACCTACCATCACTATCCCCCACCCAGCCCTGGAGAGTTCTTTGACAGTGTACGAAACGCAAGAACCGTCCACGAATATGTGTCCAGAAATGCTAAACGAAAGGTCATTGGCTCAAATGATCTCGAGGCCAGTGCCTTCTACATCATCACGAGCAGGAAACGGAAAAACGTCACCTGGATGCCGAAACAGGCCACGAGTGTACAGCAAGTGATCTTCCTCGTTGTTCTCGGGCGTGAGGTCAGGCGGAGGCAGGAGGGTAAACTTCGGCTGAAACTGTCAAACACTTCCTGCCTCTTGTCATGACACGCTGGGCAGAACCAAAGCCGATGTAGCATAGTATCAGGAGCACTCCCACAAAGTTCGCAATCCGAGCAAACAGAATATCCTGCTTCGGCGGCTCTGGTCCTAGTCCACGTGGCATTACAAGCAACAGCCTTGGCACAACCTCGCTGGTACGGCGTGCCCTTCTTGGAGCGCAAAGTAGCTGCCACAACGTCATGGCAAACTCGAGCTCCTGGAAGATGCGGGAGCAGTGCAGCACCGCTAGCCCTCTCGTGCGTCCTCTGAACTGCAGCCTTCAAAAGCTTCTTAAGAAGAGCTGGGGACGTCACAGTAAGCGAAGCTTCGGTTCCAAAATCATCCAAGAGGGTACAGTAGTTGGGCATGCTCCAAGAAATCCTTTTTCAATGCCAGCTTCATAGCCCCCAGGGGCCCCTGAACCCCACGCCAGGTTTTGGGCCCAGGGGATCCGAAAACAACCCTCCAAGAGTCCCTCAACTCAGCCCACGGGGTGACAAAGGGAAAGAGCTTGGCTTGGTTGGCCCAAATCTCCTTGGAGTACCGCACGATCGGCGCCACAGCAGGGTACCAGGTCGGGTCCTGGGATAAAATCAGGACGGAGGTCCGTGACCTCATCTTGGCAGACGGCTGCATAGTACTGGCGGCGGCAACCTGCAGCCTGTCCCATTCAAAATCC